ATTCGAATAAAATATTATTCTTTATTCATTTATTTTTCATTTGATTATTCTAGTTTATTTTTATTCACCATTTTAATTTTTACGATGATTTGTTATTCTCTATTATATGGGTTATTCTACATTTTTTTATTCATCATCACAGGCGTGCGCACGGGGGGGGGGGGGGCAGGGTGGGCAACTGCCCCCCCTGCGGGCCGAACTTTTTTGCAAATAAATATTACTTACCACTTGCGTAATCGTGTTCGAGAGTTTGTGACTGATATAAATTATAAATACGATAACAATTTACCACGAATCTGTGATATGGGAAAAATTATCAGTTCAGAATTATAGTTACCAATGATACCGACTGACAAGTTATATGTTATAAACCATGATTTTAAAGAGTTCTTTATAATGGGTCGCTACCTTTTGTTCCAAAAAATATTTGTTCCAATGTTGTTATCAATATCCGTGGTTACAATCACGGACTAAGATATAATGGACTGGCATCGAAACATTTTCGGTGGTTCACAAATGTCTGGTGTTATCATGTGTTATGGGGCCTTAGCTGTTACTAGCGCGCATGGTGGTTTAATTTTAAACTATGAACTATATAATAATATGGTGGTATATTGTAATGGTGTTTGAATTTTGAAATTGTTCAACTATTTTATACGTATTTGACTATTGAGTATTAAGTATTAAAAGTTTAATCAAAGTTATAGATACATTTATTATTAATACTTAAATTCAAATTTTCACATAACATGACAAGGTTTATTTACACAAGAAACAAATAAACTATTATTTTTTATTAAAGTGTATTATGTATTAACCAGTTTTGAATGTTTTTTCTTTTTGGCGTTATTTTTGTTTTGATTTTTATTCATCACAAGTGTATACTGCCGCATTCTCATCACAATGTAATCAGATAAAATAAACTTAAGTACTTCAGTTTTGTGATCTAGACATGGGAATTTGATTGGACCATATTCTTCAAAGAAATTATTCAAAGTGAGCTCAAAGACATCATTACTGTCGCAAAACTTTGAAAATGAGTCTTCAAAAGCTGACAATATTTTAAAGACAAATTCATTTGGGTGGATCAAACCGCCTTTAGTCTTTAGATTTACCAACGTAGCTTCTGGTTTATCTGAATACGTTTTTGTACCTATGGAAGTAATTTACTTTATAGTTATAGTAAGACATTTTTAATTTTAATGTTATAATTTTATATAGTTTTAATTATTTATGTTATGTTGAAAGGTACCTACCAATCAATGCTTTTCTGCAAAGTTCACAAGTAATGCGCTTGGTAATATTTTTAGTAATGTATCCACAAATGTAATAAATAACGCAGTCTTTTGCTTCAGCTTTAAAGTAGCTGTGTATACTTGCATCAAACACAATATCTATGTCGGTTTCTTGTACAACCAACATGTCCAATTTTTGTCTTAATAAATTAATTT